AGCTTCTGACGTCAAACTTATGTTGCTACGCTTAAATGCATAAAGAGAGTCAAGCACCAGGCATACAAATGCACATAAATTTTATACACACACATATTAGTAATTAGAAAAATAACTCTCTTATAGCCAATTTCATTGTGAAATTGTCTGCAGTGGCAGTGCTAGGAAAGAAATGGTTTGCACATATTACACCTCATTAATAACTTATTTTAAGCTTGATGTTTGTGTATCTCTGAAAAGTCACGCAAACCAAAGAAAAAAGAAAACTACTGAGGTCTCATTTAGAGTTGATGGGGTTGAGATTTATAGAGCTGGTAAGGTGAAGGTTTTGGGTGTCATTATTGATGAAAAGCTAACATGGAAATCTCATATAAATTACTTCAAATATCTCAAATGATTTCACTGGCGCATAAAGTAAAAGAGTTATTGACTTATAAAGCTCTGTATATGTTGTATAATGTAATGATTGTGCCACATTTAATTTACTGTAATAAAGTTTGGGGGAAAGCATGTAAAGCAATTACAAATCCTATTCTACACAAAAATTTGATTTGGTTAATTATAATATCTTATACGTTATATACAAGGCTTGCAAAAATGCACTACCTTAAAACATTCAATCAAAAATTGTTAAAAGAGTTATTATAATCTAAAAGGAATGGAGATTTTTGTAAAACCTAAATTTCGAACCAGTTTGAAAGAATAAAATACACCAAATCAAGGAATAAACTGTTGAATAATCTTTAGATTTACATTAAAACTGCCAGAACAATGTGTATGTTTAAGAAAATGATAAGAGTTTGTGGAAGAAATATGATATGGTATGTGTTTATGAGTTATTAAGGAAGGACTTGATTTTGTTTTGCATATTATTGTTGTTTGACTTTAATTTTGGGGGGAAATGGGCTGATATAAGATTGTTTTTCTTCTTTATGCTTCATTTAATTTCATTTATGACTTGTTTTGATTTTATTGGATATAGTTTTTTGTTAGTTTTTTTAATTGAGTTAATAAAAAATACATTTTTATATTAAAAATTGAAAACCCATATCTACTGGTTTAAAAG